TAGGGGCACCGCTTTTTGGCGCCCCCAAATCTTGGCGCCCTAGGCAACCGCCTAGTTTGCCTTAATGGTGGCACCGGCCCTGCTCCAGAGCAAACAGCCTCAGGTCCCAAGGAACCAGGTTCCCTTTGCAGCTGCGTGGAGTCGCACTGAGCTCAGCCTCATGCATCAGCACCTGTTGATCCATGCTGCAGCCAAATGGTGCCAGCGCGGGCCGGCAGCCACAGGGAGGGGCAGGGTCTGGCTGCTTGGAACTTAGCACCAGTCTGGGCCGGGTGGGCTCCACGAGTGGTAGTTCCCATCGCTACATGCAGGAGCTGGGCTGAGCGTTGACCTGTCAGGCCCTGGAATGTGCCTGTCCCGCTTCAGCCCCAGTGAAGTGAGGCCTTGCCGGGGTCTCCTCCTCCAGGGAGAGCCGGGTGGTTCTGTTTGTGGGCTGAGAACGCCCCCAGCCTTCTTCCCATGGGCAGGGCCGGCTTTAGGAAGTGCGGGGCCCGATTCGAACAGTTTCGACAGGGCCCTGACAGGGATGACTTAAAAAAAAAAAACATGTGGGGCTTGTACTCACCGAGCCGCGCGCCTAGTCTTTGGCGGCGGGTCCTTCACTCGCTCCGGGTCTTCGGCGGCACTGAAGGACCCGCCGCCAAAGTGCCGCCAAAGACCCGGAGCGAGTGAAGGACCCGCTGCTAAAGACCTGGAGCGCTGCCGGGGGAGTAAAAATTAAAAAGGTGCCTCTAGCCAGGGAAGGGATTCTCTGCCACTTGCCCCCCACTCTGGGCAACCCTGCCACTGGGCGTGGGGCCCGATTCGGGGGAATTGGTGGAATTGGCCTAAAGCCGGCCCTGCCCATGGGAGCAGCAGGAGCAAACAGCAGCAGTTCCTTGGTCCCAATTTCCCAGCTGCCTGTCCTGTACCCCCAGAGCTCTGTCTCTGCTCCCCGTCATGGCCACCCCCACCACTACTGCTGCCGCCGGCTGCTGGTGTTCAGGTCCTCCCAGCTTGAACCAGTCCCCCCTCTGTCCTGGTGTCCCAGGGTGCCCATCCCGCTCGGGATGCCCCTATGGTTGTGCTAGGCCCCAGGCCTCCTCTTTTTGCAAGGGCGAGCCCCACGACTCTGAGACTTCAGGCTCTAGCCCCCCGCTTCTTGCCGGTGAGTCCAGCTGAGGGTAGACCCCTGTGAGAGACTCAACCCCTTCGGCAGCGATGCAGCCAGCAGGGATTGGCAGTGACACCGCACAGCCTGTTCAGACCACGCCCTCTTCATTAGTCATCTGGACTCCAGGACCGAGGGGGCAGGGCCGGCTCCAGGCACCAGCTGAGCAAGCTGGTGCTTGGGGCGGCAGATTGTTCGAGGTGGCACAGCCGCCTTTTTTTTTGTTTGTTTTGTTTTGCTCCAGCCGCCCTGTAGGGGGCAGCGGCGCGGAGAACCAGAGCGCCCTGCAGGGCAGTCCTCTTCCTTCCCTCCCCGCCGACCGGAGCGGAGCCCTCGCAGGAGGCGGCAGGAGGCGGTGCAGTGGGAGGGGCCGCGTGGCAGCGCCCCTGCTGTAGCCCTGGCTGCCCCCCTTCTCTTTCTCTCCTGCCCACTGCCTCTTCCCCCCCCGTCCCCCTGCACCCGCGCTTGGGGCGGCCAAAAAGCCAGAGCCGGCCCTGCAAAGGGGGCAGGTTTGTCTGAACTCAGAGCCTGCGTTAGCAGTAGCCTCTGCTCTAAACCTCCTGCATTCTCAATCTTCCGGCTGGGCAGCAGCCATCTTAACCCCCTCCACTCACATACACCTGCTCTCTTTGTCTCAGCTGCTGTCCTGCTGTGCTCCCCTCAGCTCCCAGTCTGTAACAGTCACTGTCCGGTCATTGTGTCTCCGAGACAACTTTGTCCATATGGGAACAGTTCTCAATAGTTCATTCAAACCACCCCAGACCTGTCAGGGGGTGGCATTATACAATAGGGAAACTGAGTCACACACTTTCCAAACAATATTACAAAAACTTACAGGGAAGCCTTCAGCTCACGCAGTTCAGCGTATGGTTGGCCTTGCCATGTACTCACCCAGAGCTTTGGGCAATGGCTTCTGTTTACAGTTACCTCATACAGGGGCTTCATTGCTCCTTCCATGCAGTCTAACAGAAGAGACTGCACCCATTGGCAGTCACAGACTTGGGTAAAGCCTTCAGCAGGTCTTTGACAGACAGCCATTTACACACTGCTCCAGCAGCTGTGCTCTGCCCCTGGAGCTGCACTGGGCCCTCCCCAGCACTGCGACGGGCTGTCCCTGTCGAAGCTCCGAGTCCAGAGTTCAGCATGGGACAGTCCTGCTGCAGCCTGTTTGGCCAGGGCTCCTTGCACGGGATGACTTGCTGGTTCCTACTGCCCTCTGAATGTGCCATGGAGGGGGAGCTCCCAGGCAGAACAGAGCCAGCAGGGGCAGGCTGGGTGAGCTGCACCTGCACTTCACACAGAGAAAGTCGGAGGGGGGATGGGGAAGATCTGGCCATGCTGGACCCTGCACTGGGAAGCTCACCACCTGGCCAGCTGGGCAGTGCTAGTGGGGGTCCCTGGACTCCCTGGTGCAGCGGAGCCACCCCCACCTACCCCGCCCGCTCTCACGCTGCTCATGCCTCCCACGCAAATGGGGAGGAGGGGAGAAAAGTGCTTGCTGCAAACCTGGCTTTGCTTCCCACCTCCTGCTGGGGTTCTGCCCTGCTCCCCAGCTGTGTTTGAGGGTTGGGGCCTGGGGCAGGGAGCTGCCCTAATGGCAGCAGGCAGGAGCATGGGGAGCCGGCAGTGCGACTGTCTGCCGGGCCGCCGCCCCTGACGCGCTCTCTCTGACACTAGCGGACATTGCCCGGAACATGGGCGCCAAGACGGTGGTCGCCATCGACGTGGGCAGCCAGGACGAGACTGACCTCTGCAACTATGGCGACAGCCTCTCAGGCTGGTGGCTGCTGTGGAAACGCCTCAATCCCTGGGCCCAGAAGGTTAAGGTGAGCCCTGCCCTGCCCTGCCCTGGGGGCTTCCGAGCCTGAGAGCCCCCTCCAAGGGGAACCTGCCCCATCTCTCCTGCTGCCTCCGGGCACCTCACCCTGGCCACCTGGGCCACACCCGTCCCATGCTGCAGGCTCGGGGGCCATGTGAGGGGAGGCAGGCAGGCCCCACCCACCCAGGGCTGGGGCTCTTCACCATCCCTCTCCCCTGCCATTCCTCTGCTCCCTACCTCAAGGGCAGCAACAGCCCTAGGTGCTGGCAGGGTCCCTTCCGCCACAGCCCCCGCCTCCCAGGGCTGCTCCTGCCTGAGCATGTGGGCCTGCCTTGGCAGCCAGTGGCTTCCCTCAGGCTGGCTGGGCACAGTCACTCCTGATGCCCCAGTGGCAGTTGCTGGGATCCGGCTCCGGCCACTCAGCTGGACTGAGCCAGCTGGGCGGGAGTCAGACCTGCAGAAGGTAGGAGAGACTGTCCCTTGCAGCCCCCGCCCCAGGATGCTGTCCCAGATGGGGCTGATCCACCCCCTTGCAGGACACTCCTGTTTTTCCCCACACACATACAGGTGCCCGACATGGCGGAGATCCAGTCACGTCTGGCCTATGTGTCGGTCGTGTGTGCGCCAGCTGGAGGTGGTAAAGTCGAGCTCCTACTGTGAATACATTCACCCGCCCATCGATCGCTTCAAAACCATGGACTCTGGCAAGTTCGACGAGATCTACGTGAGTCCAGATGGCCTGGGCCGCGGGGGTGGGGAGTGTGGGAGGCTCTGATCTGGGGGGCGGGGGTCAGTGCTCAGCAGGGGGTGGGAGACTGGAGGCTGCACTTGGCTGCGGTGGGGAGGGTGGGAGGCCCCGATCTGGGCCACTGGCTGTGCCCAGGTTGGGGAAGGAGAGGCCCTGCTTGTGGGGATGAGTTGGAAATCTGATGGCCACCCTTGTGGGGAGCAGCCCCGCAGCTGCGTTGGAGCACCCAGGGCAAATCCATGTCTTGCTCTGCAGCGGGTGCTGCCTGGCCTGGCCAGTCCCCCCGCAGCTGGCTGGAAGGAGTGGGCCCCTCACCCTGCCCATCCATCTCATGCAGGACGTGGGCTACCAGCACGGCAAGGTGGTGTTCAGCGGCTGGAGCCGCGGCGACATCATTGAGAAGATGGTGAAGGACCGGCGCTCGGCCGACTTCTACGAGAGCAAGCACATGGATGTGAGTGAGGGGGCAACAGTGGGGCATGAGCCAGCAGGGGATGGGTAGCTACAGTTTGTGTCTTGTCAGATTCCAGCAACTTAGCTCCCTTTTATGCCAAGCTGATGTTCCTACAGGGTCCTGGCTGTGGCAGCCCCATGGCGCAGCGCCAGTGCCTGAGGCAAGGGGAACAACCACCTCAGCCCTGGTGCCCCAAGCAGTAGGGCTGGGGGCTCCAGGGGGAGTGGGGGCGCTTGGCAAGGAAGTGCCCTCCCTCATCAGTGCAGACCCCACTTCCAGCTGGGGCCGCCGTGTGGCTCTGGTCCCTTTGTCCTTAGGCCGAGCCCCTTGGCGAAGTGGGGGATCCCCTCGAGGTTGGACTCAGAGCCACCTGCATGGGGTGAGAACCTGACCCACACCCTTTGCCACAATGCCCCCCACTCCTTGTCCTCACCCACTGGAGCCCTCCTGAACCACCCGCTCTCTAGCTCAGCCCTCATTACACTTCCTCCCTGTATCCCAGCCCCCCAGGGCTACCTGGCGGGGGCATCTCTAGCCTGGCTCTCACCCCCCAGGTGCTGACTTGCCCCAGCGCGGGGTTCACTGATCTGGCCGAGATTGTGTCTCGCATCGAGCCGGCCAAGAGCTACCTGTCCGATGGCTACGCTGATGGTGAGTGGGGGCAGGGGGCGCGATGCAGGGCTCTCTGCCCATGTCACTCCAGTAGGATTCTGGGGCCCCAGCAAGGCTGGGGGAGGGGGGTTAGGGCTGGGTTAGAAGGGGGGACTGTGGGTCAGGATTGAGGGGCACCAGGGCCAGGCCAGGAGCAACTGCCAGCTCCATGTGTGCTCCCATCCCAGGTGAGGAATCTGACTACCTGACGGAGTACGAGGAGGAAGGGCTGGACCCCGCGCGGGGAGAGGAGGAGCTGTTAGCACCGGCTGAGTGGACCCACACTGAGGTACTTGAGACTAAGCTCTGGCCTCTGCTCCCTGGGGATGGCGTGTGCTGGGCCCAGCTGCTTCTCCTGGGGCCCTCTCCAGATGGGGGAGCTGGCCGAGGTGGGGCTCCGTCTGTGTCACTGTTCTGGCAGCTGTAGGGAGCGCTGGTCCCCAATGCTGCTGCCCATGCTCCAGGGAGCAAGGGTGGGCCTGGATTCCCCAGCCCCTAGGACCATGCCCCCCTTCCCTGCACAAATATTGCAGGCTCCCCACGGGGTGCTCTCCACACTCCCCCACTGCTCGGGGGGGGGGGGGGTTCCCGTTCACACGCTCTGTGCCAGCTCCTGGGCTCCTTGCTCTCAGGCTGGCATTGCCCAACTCCGGAGCCCAGAGAGGCCAGATCCTGGGGGTGGGGCTAAGAGTCGTGTGGGAGATGGAGCTTCCCCTCTTGAGAATGGGGACCAGCCCAACCCATCGCAACATGGGGCTTGTCTGGACCCAGACGTTGCCCTGGATGACCCTGGTGTGCGTGGGAGGAGGGGGGCTCCTGGCCACGTGGCTTGTCCTTACCCAGCTCTCACTAAACAGGCCTGAATCGTCCCTGCCCTGGCCTGGGAAGAGGCAGGGTGATTGCCCTTGTGGCAGCTCTCCTGGTACGCAGGAGTCTCACTCCGGACTGGATGGAGGGACGGGGTGTGTGTTCTTCACTCAGCCACTGACTGGACTCTAGTCTGAGTTCACAAGGGCCCATCATGACAGCAACACTCCTGCCCCCTCCTGCCCCTTGGTGGCTGGCCGGGCCCTATTCTCCCCGAGGGCTGGGTCTGTGCCATCACACGGTGTCTTCTCCTTCCAGGATGAGGAGAAGAGTCTGCGGCACCGCAACTCCCTGCCCCAGGAGTGAGCCCAGCCGCCTGCTCCCGGACTGAGACAGATGGAGCCTGCAGGCCCAGGGCTGGCACTAGGAGACTGCAGCCTGCATGTAGCTGGGGCACTGGAGCCCATCCTGCGCTGGAGCCCCCAGCCTCCATCTGCTGCTGGAGTCCTGAGGCCAGCCTGGTTCCACTCAGTGAATGGCCAGGGTTCTGCCGGGGTCAGCAGCCCTTCTACATCTCCCAGTGTGCAGTGAAGCCTGGCCCGGGCTCACCTGAGGGTGCAGTGGCGGCCACTGGGCCCAGCACCCTCCATCAGCCAGTACTTGACCCAGGCCAGCGCTGCTGCAGGTCCAGGGCGGCCCACAGCTACCTACTGTATCAGCTACACGCGGTTGCTGCTCACTCCAAGGCCCTGCATTGCTCCAGGGACAGCAGGGCCCAGTCCAGCAGCCTCCGCTGGTAGGGGGTGGGGATGAGGGCAGGATGCTGTGGCAGGACTACCCCGGCCCCCTCCCCGCCACACACACGAGGCCCATGGCCCTTCCTTGCTGCTCCCTTCACTTGCCCTCTGCCTGCCTCATGGAGGGCCACGGGGTGAAGCTGGCAGCCAGGGCCCTACACCCTTCCTCCATGGCCCTATGCCTGCACGCTCCTTGCTGGGTGCCAGGGCTCAGCTCCCGGCCAGGTGCTGCTGCATGACCCACTCAGGTGAGGGGGGGGTTCCCAAGAGGAGGTGCCCCCAGGCCCGGGTTACCATATTTCAACAAGCAAAAAAGAGGACGGGAGGAGCCCCG